GCTGCTCCCGGCGGCGGCGGCGGCGCCATGGACGAGGCCGTGGGCGACCTGAAGCAGGCGCTGCCCTGCGTGGCCGAGGCGCAGACCGTGCACGTGGAGGTGCACCAGCGCAGCGGCAGGTGAGCCCCGGGGGGCCCTGGCCCGTAGGATGGGGGCGCTCGCGCGGGCCGGACCGAAGGGGCTCCAGGTTCTGGCGGGAGCGCGGAGACGGTGTCCGCGACCGTGTGGCGGCGTCTGGTCGCCGCCGCCTGACGTGTGAGCCTCGCGGGCCGCCCCCGGGGTCAGCCCGTGGAGATGGGTGCGGCCTGTGCGCGGCGGGGGGAGACCCACCCAGAGCTCTGCCTGCCCCCGAGGGACGGTCCCGGGGCTCCGAGGGTCGCAGTGCGGAGGGAGGCGTGCGCCCAGAGCCAGCCGGGGTCCTGGGAGGGCTTCTGGAAGCCGCCCGTGCTGCACCGAAAGCGTTTTTTGTCTCAGGTGAATCACTGGCCTGGGCTCCTGCTACGATGCATCCCCAGGCGCTGGGAGGTTTGTTTCACTCATAGAGCCGGCGACATCCTGAGCGCCAGTTGTGCGGGCCTGCTCCCGGGCACCGAGGGTGTGCTGACCCAGATTCCCGGCCTGGTCCCGGGCACCGAGGGTGTGCTGACCCCCTTCCCGGCCTGGTCCCGGGCACCGAGGGTGTGCTGACCCACCTTCCCCCGCCTGCTCCCGGGCACCGAGGGTGTGCTGACCCACCTTCCCGGCCTGGTCCCGGGCACCGAGGGTGTGCTGACCCCCTTCCCGGCCTGGTCCCGGGCACCGAGGGTGTGCTGACCCCCTTCCCGGCCTGGTCCCGGGCACCGAGGGTGTGCTGACTGACCTACCTTTGGTTGGCTGGTATAGCAGGAACCATTGCTGCTGCCCCTTTCTTTGAGGGAGAAGCAGGCCGACCCCCAGGCAAGCCCAGTGCTGCTCCTTCCTGGAGCAGTCTGATTTGAACATAGAGTGTTACAGTGTCATTCTAAGCTGAGTTGTCATCTTCCTGTCTCTTTTGTTTCCCCAGCACTGCAAGGAAAGAAGATATAAAGCAGAGTGTTAGAAAGCTACTCAACAGACATAATATTGTGTTTGGGGACTACACATGGACTGAGTTCGATGAGCCTTTTCTGACCAGAAATGTGCACTCTGTGTCTATTGTTGACACAGAGTTAAAGGTGAAAGACCCACAGGTACCTAATTCACTGTGAGGAGGAATCATTAATTCTTAGCTGAATACAGAGTCCATGTCATGAGGGTGCCTGGCTGGCTCAGTCTGTGGAGTGTGCGATCTTGATCTTGGGTTCATGAGTTCAAGCCCCCATTGGAGGTAGAATTTACTTTTAAAACAAAAAAACAAAGAGGTATCATGAATATGTGCTTGCTTTTTTGCTGGTCTGTTGTCAGAAACTGGCTGATTTATCTTTTGGTTTGTCAGGTGGGCACCGGCTCTGTGAAGAGCCAGGTGCTGGGAGTAGATGTGACCCCGCTGTCCGGATGCTCACAGCACAGTGGGGGGACAGATGGGAAACCAGAGGCAGGATGCAGCGCAGTGGGGTGGTGGGCTACCCTGATGGAACCCCCTGCCCGATCCCTGTTCTTGAGGCCAGCATAGGACCATGGGAGACATGGGGGCTACAGCTGCAGAGAGAGGATGGTTTTCATCTAGCCCACTGTGAGGACTGTCTCACCCCCACCTTTGTTGAAAGGGTGGATGTGTTGGGGCATTTCTGTCAGTATAAAAACAACCCGAAGTGTCTGCCTCAGGAAGATGTATCACCTATATCTGTGTGCTTCGTGTCTCATAAAGAATCAATTTGGAAGAATTGGCTGGGCACTAAAATTTTGCTTGCGAGGTGGATCTCTCCATTCGTATACTGGGACTGACCCTTGTGGCTTTGTCAGTTTTATCCATCCTACTTGATTTTGGCCAGCCTGAAGGAAACAGAAGAGCTTTCCACACTACTGAGGAAGGACAGATTAAAGGACAGATTTTAACATTCTCATCTTTGAGTTGGCACATTGACCTAGAGAAATTTGTCTTCATTATGTAACTTTATAAAGATATGTGAACTATATTTTATATATTTTGTTAATGATAGCTAACTACTTGAGATATCTTAATTACGTATTAGTCAGAGGTTGGCTAAGGAAATGATACATCCACACCCATTGTGGTATAGTTGTGAAAAAGCACATGCCAGATTTTTATCTACTGACAGAAAATGTTTCCAAGCTCTACTGAGAGGGAAAGGCACAGTTAGAAAACTGCAGCTGAATCCATGTCTGGTCAAGTGTGTGTGGTGTGTCATAGACCAAAACATGGGTGAGGTTGGATGTGGGGGGCTTTGGCCTTCTTCCTTCTGTGTTTTTTTGTATTTTTTCAACAAGCATGTAACTTTCATGATTACAAAGAACAGTAAAGTCCTTTCTTGAATAAAGGCAGAGGGAAGTATTTAAAGAAGAGCTAATACTAAACCTGAACATGGTAGCTTTTCTACCTAATCTAAGAACTGGTTTCCAACATTCTGTATGTTCGATCTTTGTTTTTGGATGTTACCGTCTAACTTTGATGACTAGAATTAGAAGTGAGTTCTTTTTCAGTTTTTTTGGATTTATTTGATTTCCCTTCTCACCACAGCCCATTGATCTGGGGGCCTGCACAATTGCACTTCACGTCTTCCAGCTGAATGAGGGCGGCCCCAGCAGTGAGACTCTGGAAGAGGAGACTGAGAACATCACTGCAGCAAGTCACTGGGTCCTGCCTGCAGGTGCGTGACAGTGACAACAGGCGGGCTGCACTCAAGACACAAGGTCAGACGTCGGCACGTGGCCTGGGCTCTCCAAGTCAGTTAGCTGAGGAGTTTGCATTTGTCCATTTGTTTTGTAGGCTTTTAGCATGTCTTATTTCTTGTGAAATGGGAAGCATTTCACAAAAGAGAAAAGTAGAGATCTTCACTGTAAGACTGTGTTCCTTCAGGCAGGTCCCTCTAAGATGGTGCTAATTGAGAATCTGAAGGTGTTCTTTTCCTGCCCAGTTGCTCACCTGCTGCACACTCCTTCCTCCCGCCTTCTCTTTCTCTGAGGACTTTGCCATGGTTCTGGCAGGTGGAGTCGTGGGTAGCTCAGTCCTCAGGGCTTATGTCTGAGGTCCTGACAGCTGGACTAGACCTGCTGCTGCCTTGCCGAAGTGCTGGCTGGCGGGGAGAGTGGTGGGTCAGGGTCGTGTTCATGGCAGAGTGCAGGTCCACAAAAGACAATTGTGTGGGGTAACATGACGAGAAAGTGACTCTGTACTCCATTTAATTATCTGTCAAAAGGTATGTGACTGGCAGTTACTTAGCATCTCTAATTTTAAGAAGAATTCAAATATTAAGAAAAAGTTCAAAAATTTAACTTCCTTATAATGAGAATCTTAGCTGGCCACGCGTGGGGCAGTGGAGAGCATCAGCGGCTCAGAGCAAACCTCAGTGGTCAGTGTAATAGCTTGCTTTCCTAAAATTAGGTTTTTGTTTTATTCTCTCCCAGCTGAATTCCATGGGCTTTGGGACAGCCTGGTATATGATGTGGAAGTCAAATCTCATGTAAGTTTTTTGTGCTATTTTCCAAGAAGGCCGGTTATTTGAAGTGGGATCAATACTGTGTTGTTCTCCAGCATCTTGGAGCCCTTTGACTCAAATAGGCTTTGGGAACTCAGGCCTACCAGTAGCCCGTGTCCTGCTTATCTGTCCTCTGGGGTTGCCCCCCAGCAGAGTGGTCTCTGGGGAGAGAGGGGAGGGTGCCCAATGTGAAGACAACTTTGATTGGATTGTGCTCTTAAGAACCCATTGGGAGTGAGGAGGCAGAGCCAAAGGTCAGACAGAGCAGGTGGGCAGGCCTGAGCAAGCAGTAGCTCGTCTGAACCCTTCAAGGGGAAGGGCCCTTCTGCATGCTGTGGGGGACTCTGGAGGTTCACCCCTGCATCCCCCCAGGCCGCGAGAGCGCAGAGTCCTGGCTGCTGTCTCGGGCACATGTGCTGCCGCTTGCCCACTGCCCTGTTGTCCCCGAGGTCAGAGATGCTTGTCACGTGACCAGTCTCATCCCTTTGTGCGATCTTGGCATCTTTTGTGAAAGTGAGCCTCGTGTTTGTCCTTTATGCTTACACTGTAACAGCCAGCGTGTCCTCATGTGGCATCGCTGGTGGCACTGGTGGCAGCTTCCAAGGGGCAGCCCGGTGCCCGTCCCCACTCCCTGGGCGTAAGCTCCAGCAGCACATCTGGTGGGAACCTCCACTGCATTTTATTTTTCTTCACTCAGCTCCTTGACTATGTGATGACGACTTTGCTATTCTCAGACAAGAACGTCGACAGCAATCTCATCGCCTGGAACCGGGTGGTGCTGCTGCATGGTAAAGCATGTGGGCTTTTACTTATTTAACAAGATAAACTGTGTGAAATCGGGCTTCTTTACTCATCCCGTTGATCTTTGAGGAGTTACCACTCTGTTTTCTGATGTAGCCAGAGTTGCCCTAGAATGTCCCTTCCCTGAGAAGCCGATCTAGCTCATGTTACTCTGGGCATCTGCTACTTGACCTGCCACTTGGCAGCCACCTGATCACTGCCTCGTGACTTTTCTACATTATTATCAAACTTTTCAAATAACTGCCTAATCCCCCAAGTGATCATATGATTCTTAGGGCAGAAATTGCCTCACGTTTCTTTGTAGTATCCTTAGAGCTTCCCTTTATGACTGTAAAGCATGACAGCCATATTCTACTGAAATTCTGTCTGAATCTCCTCTGAGGAAAACATTGGGTTTTTCGGGGCGCCTGGGTGGCTTAGTCGTTGGGCGTCTGCCTTCGGCTCAGGTCATGATCCCAGCATCCTGGGATTGGGTCCTACATCGGGCTCCCTGCTCATCAGGGAACCTGCTTCTCCCTCTCCCTCTGCTTGTACACACACACACTCTCTCTCTCTGTCAAATAAATAAATAAAATCTTAAAAAAAAAAAAAGCATTGGGTTTTTCTTGATGTCACTGGTTAGAAAGGAATCGAGAGAATACCCAAGTGAAATGGGGGTGCAAAGTCATTAGCTTCTTACATCAGTTAAGGTTATAGGCTGCTATGCAGTCCTAATAAGTGTCTATTAAGCAGCAAATATGCTCAGCACATTGTCCTAATACTAGGTTCTGAGAAGGCGATCAGTAGGTATTTTAATTAGTGAAATAGCTAATTTTCTCTTTAGAATTGGTTTGTTTTTTTTTAAATTGTTGAGAATGTGTGCAGAAAATCAGAGTTAAATGTGCCTGTCCTGACAGCTGGATTTGTCCTTCACATTGGTCTCAGAGCTGCTGCCGGGCTCTGCGCTAAGTGGCCCACGGGGAAGAAGCTGCACGAGTGGGGCCCTCACCTGGCTGCCATTCTGGTTTAGTGTCGGCCCTGGTGAATTGAGTGTCATGAGAGGTGTTTGACCTTTCTCCAGGTGTCTTAGTGGATTTTATAGAGGACACGTGGGGACAAGGAGGGTGTCAGTGAAGATGTCAACCAGGAAATATAGCCCTCTTGGGATGCTGAGGGGACCTGCGTGCCAGGAGGCAGTGCTCTGTTGGGGGCGTGGGAGGTAAGACCAGAAACACGAGCTGAATTCAAACTCGGAGGAAAAGGGAAAGACTCGTGAAGCGTTTTGGTGATATTTTACGGCACTCACACTGCTGGCGGGCTTCTTTGTGAGTTAGCAAGCAGTGTTTGGGGGAATAGCATTCATAGCATTGAGCTCTCCCTATTTTGTATACTGTGCATAATGCACCCACTTGTTACAACACTGGCCTAACATTTGCTTGGGTTTTGTTGCAGGTCCTCCGGGAACTGGAAAAACATCCCTGTGTAAAGCGTTAGCCCAGAAACTGACCATTAGACTTTCCAGCAGGTAACTTCTGGTAATTTGAGAAAGGAGAGCAGCAGGGCGGGGCCGCTTGCTTCTCATTTGTGACGCAGAGATGTTTCTAGTTTTTAATCATTTCCCTTGACTCTCTACATAGTCCTGCTCTTTCAAGGCAGGTTAACTAATTCCTCAGTACTCAGCGGTGCCAAGTTAGGATCTCGTCTTTTTAAACCGATGGCACTTGCTTTACAGTCAGCACGTGGTCTTTCTGGTGACTTCCTGTACACATCAGAACACGTTTCTGCTTTCGGGGGTGGGATGGTTGGGTGGCAGCTCAGGATGCTTGCTGCTCTTGCTGATGGTCACTGTTCCGTCACCTGGGAGAGGAGTGGCCAAGTCTCTCAGGCTGGATCTGTTTCTTCTTGAGCTCTGGCTGCTTCATCACGTTTAGATTCTACATGGCCGTTGTTTCAGATACCCCGTCCCCATTTTCTGTTGATTTGCAGGTTCAGTGACCTGATATTGTCCCACGGGCCACTGATGTGCTTTTTGGTCCTTTCAAAAGGTTTTTAGAATTTTCTGTGTTCCATTTTGGGCCATTTTTCAAAATATCTAATATGCTTTTAATTCCATTCGGCAACATCTTCATTTCTGATAGTGTATATTTCTTTTCGGGAGGTTCCGCTTGTTTCCTTTTATACCTGTCAACTCTCTGATGCTGTGTCCTTGCTGAAATGCTCGAGTAAGTGTACAGTAGTAGTTCCACTTTCTTTTCTGCGAATTCCATCGTTGTTGTCAGTTCTGAGTCTCCCTATTGCTGGGTGGTTCTCCTGCTTCGGGGTCAGTTTCTGCTGCTTGTCCTGCCAGCTAAGCTTTGATCGAATGCAGACCTTTTTTTTGTTGGATTTTGTTCTGGTAGGCATTTCAGTTACTTGTGATTTAGCATGATCCTCTTGAGGTTTGTTCTTAAGCTTTGTTGGAGTAGGGTCTAGACTGAATGCTGAAGTGAGGCCCTTCCGGGGTCTCAGGGAAGCCCCCTGAGTCATAGTGGGTACTGTCCACTTGGGCCATTAGGAACATAAACTTCCCAGCTGTGAACACCAGGAATCGTACAGCTCACGGCTCTCCAGCCTCATGGGATTTCCCTTTTCTCACATCCCTGAGTGTTCAGCAAAGACCCAGAAGGACCCTGTGATGATTCCTGGAGATTTATTCCTACGTATCTGCGTCCCCCCTGGAACTCTGCTTAGTTGCCTCCAGCTGCCTCAGGTTCCTTGAACTCAGGCCTCTGTGTCCAGGTCTGCCCAGTGGCTGCACACTTCTTGGGTCCCCTCCAGGGCTATGGCTGGAAGGTGCTGCAGGCAGAGAGCCAGAGCACTTACGGCCCGCTCAGGTTCTGTGTGGGGCGACAGTCCTCCGTGCCTGCCACCCAGTCCCTTCGCAGCTGCCGTTGTGATTTTGTCTCATTTTCTGGTTAATTCGGAGGGTTAATCTGATACTCATTACTCAGTGTGACTTTAGATGAGGGAATCCTATGAGGTATACTTTATTCTTCTTTTCAAAAATGTCCTGTAGGTATTTTTATGTTGGGAAATTACTCTATATCTACCCTTTATTCTATTCTTGGCAACTTGGTTTTTGTCTTGGCATACTGAAACACATCCGTGTTTTAAAGATCTCTTGGGGCGATTTCCTAAAACACGGGAGACTGAAGATGTTGCTACAAGAAATACAACTCTCTGAAGTACAACCATCCCAGTCTTTATTTCGTTGGGTTGTCTCTCCCCTTCCCTCTTTTGTAAACAGAATTAGCAAATGGAAAGCCAATTATAATTTTTTTGAAAGTGACTGTTTTTCTTGTGTGGACTTTCCAGGTGCAGAGGACCTGGCTCGGCTTCCCTTCTGCCTCAGTCTCGCTCCCTCTCTGCTTTTAGTTAGAACTAAGCGTGTTCAGGTCTCAGCCACCTCCGTGCATGCAGAGGTTCGGTGGTAGATTTCAGTCAGTATGTGCTGAGGTTCACTTTGGGGCATCTGGGCAGCCCTGGGCTCGGGAAGTAATTTTGTGCTGCGAAACAGATTGTCACACTCATTTCAGTTTTAGGGAAGGAAGAAAGCATGTTCAGCTCCAGCCAGAAAGTTTCTGACGATTATGTTTTGTTTTGCCTGCTAGGTTACTACTGGTAATACTTCTTAAAACGCTGGAGTTGTGAATTATGAGTAGATTAGACGTGAGGGAGATTTTACTCTTGCTTTGATTCAAATGAAGATATTATTCAATTCAAAACGCTTCGCTTCAGCCAGAACCACCGACTGCACGTCATTAGGTTTTCACAGTTATTTGAGCCCTTGTTGGTATTACCTTGTAATTCATGATTGCCTTGAGCCCTGGTTAGTAACTGGTGATTTAACCAGTTAGTGGGCAGTGCTAAAGAAGGAGTGGTTGCCACTGGGGGTACCTGATTTGTAAACCAGTCGTCTTAACTCTGTTTTATCCTCCCAGGTACCGGTATGGCCAATTAATTGAAATAAATAGCCACAGTCTCTTTTCTAAGTGGTTTTCGGAAGTAAGTATTAGCATCACTTCTACTTCTCAGGATTGCCAACCTTGTAGTTGAAAAGGTGCCCCGTGTAGTAGGCAAATCTTCTCCTCCAAGAACATGAGAAATAGGCAACACGTGACTGTGTGGCTGACTTCAGGGTCAGAGGGAAGTTCCAGAGCTAAGCAGTAACTTGGAAGTAGTGTGAGGCCTGAGAGGACCCTCTGCTCGTCACATCCATACCTTTGGGTGGGACAGACACTCAACTTTCTCTTAGGGAGAGAACCCTCATTCTAGCAAGGGCCGCATCCTCAGCTGAGCACACGCCCTCGGGGCCCTGAACCTCGTTCCTCTCTCTGAATCGCAGGGCTCAGCCAAGGTGATGTTCTAAGTGCCCCTCAGCACAGGAGAATGCCGCCCAGGCACCTGTGGCAGTAGATCCCTCTGGTGGGTGGTGAGCCAGGACAGGGAGCGCTTGTAAGGCATGCACCTCCCAGCTTGCATGTTTGCATCTGTGACCCATCTTGTTCCTGGTCATGGGGATGGCAGGGAAAGGGAAGGAGGAAGTGCATGGCATGTGAGGCGCCCATGCCAAGCAGCCAGAGCTGAGCCGGTGTGGGTTCAGGCTCGCTGTCCTGGTGCATGGAATAGGGCAAAGGCAGCGTGTGGTTGGCCTCCTTCCATGTGGCCCTGGCGTCTTGGATTTAGGTATTTCTCCAAGGGGCCGTCAGGAGACAGTAGGCTTCTCGGGCCCCTTGGGCTCCGTCTGAGGCTGGGTGGGGACCATGGGTACATGTATACACCAGGCAGTGTGAAGAGTGCACGTCGACACTAAAGGAGTATTTTGGTTCCAGAGTGGCAAGCTGGTAACTAAGATGTTCCAGAAGATTCAGGACTTGATTGATGACAAAGACGCTCTGGTGTTTGTGCTGATTGATGAGGTATGCGCATCTGGACATCACACCTGTGACTGAAGCAAATCCAACCCCTGGCTGAGCCCGGCCTCTGTCCAGCACTCCGGTCATGCAGCGCACTCCTCCTCGGTGTCCCGCGTGTGCAGCTTCTGGCAGAGTGGGCTCAGCACACCCCTTCACTTGTTCCCCACTTGCTCCATTGATGCATCCCATGGCTGCCCGTGGGGCCAGGCGCTACCCTTCTCCACCTATTGTCCCATCCCCACAGGTGGAGAGCCTCACGGCTGCGCGCAACGCTTGCAGGGCAGGCGCCGAGCCTTCGGATGCCATACGCGTGGTCAATGCCGTCTTGACCCAGATCGATCAGATTAAGAGGTAATGCTGACGTGGTGGCCTCACGTGAGAAGCCACGGGCAGGGTGTGAGGTGCCTGCACACCCCTAGACCTTACTTCCAGCTCCTCTGACTGGAAACAACGGCTGCTGCTAAGTATCAGCTCTGTCTTTGCCCATCTGAGGCGGTATATATGCTAAATGCGATAATTAGGAATTACGTACTTGTACTAAACTACTAAAAATGTAACACAAAACTTGAGTGTGGTGAAAACTCACATGCTGCAGAGAAGCACATGACAAGGAGTGAAACACGCCACATTCAAGCACTGGTGCCAGCACCGCCCAGGGTTTGTCGGCCTTGAAGGGCTGGCGATGGGCAGGTGAGTGTCACCTGCACGCCCTTCGTGGGGCCAGATTTCATGTCTCCACAGTCCAGCCTTGCAGGTCCAGAGCCTGTGGTCAGTGTGCCCTAAGCTGATCCAGCTTTAGGGAGTGACTCCTACTAACCTGACTCACAAGGAAGTAATGTCCAAACCAGAGCCCCTATGTGTTCCCCACAGTGTTTCACCGCCCCCTCTGCTGATAACAGCTCTCACAGTTAGTCCTGGGAGTGCTGTCCTCCACTGAGGGTGCCAGACTCCAGAGCACCGCCTGGAAGCTAGCTTACTGCATGTGGACTCACAGGGAACTGAATTGTGCTAAGGGCTGTTTCCTCCAGGCCTTCAGGGTGGTTTTACCACAGAGGCTCTGATTTCCCGAGATGCGGCTCTTGGGGCAGACTGCAGGGGCTGCTTGCTTCCACCCTGCTAACAGGCCAGCCACGTGCGAGGCACAGCCCCTCCTCATCTCTGCTTCCTTCCCTGCCCCTGCTCCTCAGTCTGGTTTCTACCCCTGTGGCTCGTTCACCTGAGGGCCTTTGTTCTCCCTGGAGTTTTCTACAGCATCTGACCCCTGGCAACCCCTCCCCAGCCTCCACTCTCCAGACCACCTCAGTTTCTGCCACTGGCCTTTCATCTCTTCGGGCAGCCTGGGCAGCCCATGCCTAGCCTTCTCCCCTCTATCGCTCACCTCTTAGAGGCCTGCGGGACCACCTGGCCCAGGTATCAGGCACACTTCCAGGGCAGTCATTCAGCTCTGAAGCCCCCATTTCCAGGGTTCCCACTGAGCCCCAGTGCCCCTCCTGTTGCCAGCAGTTGTGGGTTCAGGAGGGAATAGAGACACGTGGGCCTCTGGTTTCCCTCGTACCTTCTTGTCCCCCTTTACTTCACGCTCCCTGTTCAGGCCTCTCAAGGTGACCCTTCCAGACCTTCCTTTGTGTGTATCTGACTCTCTGGGCTCCTAGGACCCCTACACTCCCTGCCCCTACCCTCACTGGCTCACCCCTGCTCACCCTGTGCTATGCACCTGTTGCTAGACACTAGGTAAAGCTGGCCATTCAGCTTCCTGCAGCCTGTATGCCAACCATGGGCCCCAGGGGAGGCATGCTCCCCAGAGTGCTTTGGGCCTTCTCTGTGTTGGCCCGTGTTAGTGAACAGACTAGGCAACAGTGCTCTCTTTGTAGAGCTTAGAAGCTAAAGGGGAAAGCAGCTGGTAAACAGGATAAATAGTTCAGCTCTGCAACGGTTGGGGGTCATGAGAACTGTGTGGAGAGCAGTCACCTGGGCATGCCCAGGCAGGTTGATGGGGCAGTCAGGACTGCACACAAGTGAGAGCTTCACCGCACCGCGGTTGAGGGAGGAGAGGGAATAGTGAAGTGATAGTCTAGGAGAACTTTCCAGAAGGCAGAGGAGCAGAGGGTCTGTTTGGTGCACTGTGTTGTGGCCAGGAGAGCCTGGTGGGGAGTTGGGAGTCCCACAGGCACTCAGGCGTGAGCCTCGGAAGACGTTGTAGGCCAGTGTTGGGACTTGGAGTGCAGTGGCTAGGATGCTGGCTGAACACCGGAACTTTCAAGGGCGGAGGGTGTGAGGGAGTCACTGAGGCATCTGGTGACTGGCGCACACTCCTCTACCTTCAGGCACTGCAACGTGGTGATTCTGACCACTTCCAACATCACGGAGAGGATCGACGTGGCCTTCGTGGACAGGGCTGACATTAGGCAGTACATTGGACCACCGTCTGCAGCAGCCATCTTCAAAATCTACCTCTCATGTTTGGAAGAACTGATGAAGGTGCTGGGTGTCTTTTCACTCTTCTAGCAGCAGATTTCTCATGTTTTTCCATTCCCTGACATAGCTCAAAATAGCTAATTCCAACATGGAGTGAGTTATCTGAATGCGGCATTAACGGTCTTAAAAAGTTGAACACTGCAGTTGTGTCTGGCAGGTTGAGCTGTTAGTTGAAATTGTGGCCACTGACTCAATATTTTTGTTCTTTTGGCACAAGATGATCATGACTATTTGATCTACTGATCTGCAGGGGATGAGTTGAGTGGGAGGGGAATGGCTGTGGTAGCCTGCCGGCATGTCCTGGTCCACAGAGAGACCTCCTGACTAGAGGTCATAACTCACAGGGAGACCTCCTGACTGATGGTCATAGCTCACAGGGAGGTCATCCTGACTGGAGGTCATAGCTCACAGGGAGGTCATCCTGACTGGAGGTCATAGCTCACAGGGAGGTCATCCTGACTGGAGGTCATAGCTCACAGGGAGGTCAATCTGACTGGAGGTCATAGTTCACAGGGAGGTCATCCTGACTAGAGGTCATAGCCCACAGAGATGTCATCCTGACTGGAGGTCAGAGCTCACAAGGAAGTGAATCTGACTGGAGGTCATAGCCCACAGGGAGGTCAATCTGACTGGAGGTCATAGCTCACAAGGAGGTCATCCTGACTGGAGGTCATAGCTCACAGGGATGTCAATCTGACTGGAGATCATAGTTCACAGGGAGGTCAATCTGACTGGAGGTCATAGCTAACAGGGAGGTCAGTCTGACTGGAGGTCATAGCTCACAGGGAGGTCAGTCTGACTGGAGGTCATAGCTCACAGGGAGGTCTTCCTGACTGGAGCTCATAGTGCCGGGAAGGTCATCCTAAGGAGGTTGTCATTTACAGGCTGTCATTGGCTGCAGCGTTAATGTCCCTTTGGTCCTGTTTTCTAACAGCAGCCATGAGCAAGACAACGGTCATAGTCGACCTCGTGTGAATTACTTTAACAGGGACCTGTCTTGCACCTGGGTGCTAGGAGTTCTGGCACTGGGCACAGCAGGCCCAAGGCAGGCAGTACCTGCTCCAACAGCAGCGTTCCTCGAACCTTTGCATCTGGGAAATGGGCAGTAACCAAGCCAGCCAAAAGACAGGGAGTTACATGTGATTGTTGTCATGGTATCACTAAAACCAGGTGGTGGGGGTGGGATTGACCCCTGCCCGGCCTCACGGAGCTGGGGCCCTGATGCCCTCAGCAAGGATGACACAGCCTATGATGGGGATGGGGGAGCTGGTGGTCGTGGCATGTGCATCCCATCCTGCTTCTCAGTGGCATGGAGCAAGGGAGGGGCCCCGTGGAGCTTTGACTTGAGGTCCCAAGTGAACTCCAGGAAGTGTTGCCGCTGAGAGGTCAGCGTGATGGGACCCTGCTCGCGGTCACACTTGCACTTGGGCCATGCATCCAGGAGATGTTCTAAGGTTTAGTCAGATGGGTGACAGGAAATTAGGATGTTCCGATGATGTGGTGGAGATCTGGCCAGTCCTGAAGGGTGTCGCATGTGACTGGCCCACTCTGTCAGGAGCTGGCAGTTCTCACGTGCACCTGGATGGCTGTGTCGCTGGGAGGGGCAGCGGGGGGCAGTCCCAGAAAGGCTGCAGGGGGTCTGAGGGAGTGTCACTTAGAAAGCTGAGAACACTCCCACAGAAACCCTGTCTTTTAAATTTACCCACAGCCTTCACCAAACCTCCAAAATGTACGAAGAAAGCCATTTGTTCTTTGTTTTCTCTCCTGGTTTCTTAGTCAAAAGAGTTCACGTTAGAAGTCCTTCGGTAGTGGTCGCTGAGCGCCCTGACCTGGCAAAGAATATCCCACGGGCAGACACCAGGCCTATGAGGGAACTCGGGGGCCCAGATCCAGGGTCAGGCTGTGCCTTTGCACCACACAACAGTCTGATCTTAAAAACAACAAGTGGAGACTGTCCTTGAAAGGCAGGCCAAGTCCTGGTTCTTGGACCCAACTCTGCTCCACTGGGTTGTGGTATACCATTGAACCCATTACCAGGCTGGCCTCAGCCCCTCCAAGTCCCTCCCTGCTCTGACATGTGGTCAAGACACATCTTGACCAAAAGCACAGAAGAGCCTGGGTTGCTGCCGGTCTCTTGAGACATGTTTTGTCATTTGTATTTTTACCTGTGTTTGAAGGAGTGGGGGCATGTGTGTGAGCGAGAGGGAGCCCCGCCTGAGTGCTGGTGTGTCTGCTTGCGTTTCTGTGAGAGGGGATGTGGTTGCCTGCTCTCTGGGGGCTGTCCCCGTGGCAGATGGCCTGCACTCCGCCCTGTGGACCCTGCCCTAATGCCCCGTCTCTGTCTCCAGTGTCAGATCATATACCCTCGCCAGCAGCTGCTGACCCTCCGGGAGCTGGAGATGATTGGCTTCATTGAAAACAACGTGTCAAAGTTGAGCCTCCTTTTGAGTGAAATTTCAAGGTGTGAATTGACTTCATTTTTGTAACCAAGAGAAGTGTGTCTGTTGTGGTAATGGGCGGTTGTAGCTGACTGTAGCAGCCTGGGCTGGTGGTGTGGGGTCAGAGGACAGGGAGTAGAATCCTGAGGCGTTTGTCGCTATGTGCCAGGGGAGCTTCGAGAGCCCTCGACCACCCTGGCCCCGGGTTCCTGGGCCAGAGGGTAGAGGTCAGCTGCCCTCCCACAGGCAGCTTTAGAAAACGGAAAACAGTGCTGTGCTTCTCTCTGAAAAGATAGACGTTCATGTTAAGGCTCTCTTCACATACTGATGATTTCTAAAATGGTATTTGTTCAATTTGTACAAACTGGCAAGAAGAAAAAAGTGGAAGTTTCTGTTTGAGTGAGTAGAGTGAGTAACTGCAGAGTACTACACTCGGTGCTTTGGGAAGTAAGGGGAAGTGCACGGCCCGGCTGCCCTGGGTGTCAGGAGAGGGGCGCTCCATACCCGAGCACTGACGACGGCTGCACGTGTGCTGGGGGCCAGAGCTGACAGCGCTGTCACCTCTCAGATGGCTTTGGTAATCAGGAGCGTGAGGAGGGAAGGTGGGGAGATGGAGCAGAGCCTCGAAGGACAGAATTTGGATAAGTTGGAGAGAAACGGGGATCTCCGCAGGTGCCATGTGTGCAGGGGACCTCAGGTGGGTCTTAGTACGGACGTGAGGTGGTGGCAGGCGGCCACCAGGCCACGTTCTGACTAGTGAGTTTGAACTTCGTTCCGAAGCCATGAGGCTTGTGGAAGGTTTTGAACAAAGGGATAGCCTGAAGAACAGATTATCTTTTGGATACTCTGTTGAAGAGATTTAAACTGGTTGAGATGGGGCAGGGAGGGCAGTTCAGACACTTGACAAAAATTGGCGTGGACCAGCCTGGTTTCTGAGGAGCTGTGCCCCACGCGCCCACTGTGTCGTGAGCACACTCCTAGGCAGGTGGCGCATTAGGGCAGCAAGGACCCTGTCCTGCCTGGGGCAGTAGCTGAGGACTGGGGGAGACCAACCATAGGGGAGGGGACTTTCAGAGAGGAGGGAAACAGGCCTGAGACTGTCCCCAAACGCGGTTCTGTTCACAGGAAGAGCGAGGGCCTCAGCGGCCGTGTCCTAAGGAAACTCCCTTTTCTGGCTCACGCACTGTACATCCAGGTGAGTCACCCGCAGCCTTCCCTGCCTCTGGCACTCTGCTCTCCCCACCACCGCTGTGTGGCAGGGTATGGCCTCGCCGGGAGTTGCACGGGACCCTGATTTATCTCCGTGTCTAAGTGATGGGCTCCTGGGTAGGGGGACGAGCGCGCCTTGCTGCCTCTGTGGTGAGGAGATGGCCTGCTGGTGCCTCACACACCTCTGTGGCTCACGGAGAGCCCACGCTGGGCCCTCCCTGGCCCCCACAGGGGTGCTCACGCAGAACAGCACCTTGGTTCCCCCCCCTTGCCCTGTGCTTGGGTGCACCCCTGCTGCTGTTGGTGGGGGTGGGGGGTGCCAGTGGCCCCAGCGTGGGCAGGAGCAGCCCCCGTGCCTGTGTCTCCTTCCAGGCCCCCACCGTCACCATCGAGGGCTTCCTGCAGGCCCTGTCTCTGGCAGTGGACAAGCAGTTTGAAGAAAGGAAGACGCTCTCGTCTTGCATTTGATCTGAGCTCCCTGCCTGTGGGTTTCGCAAGTGACGTTACTGCTCATGGCAGCAGCTGCCCAGACGTCTCCAAACACTCGGCGCACGTCTCTAGGCCAGAAGCTCACGAGGCTAAGCAGTGTTCAAAGAAGTGTGTTGTATTTACATGGTTTTAAGACAAACAGCCTGTCAGTTTCACTATTTTGAAAGCCGTTAATTCACGTTCTGCTGTCCTGTAAAGAACGGTCTAGATGTGCTCGTTCCATCCTGTGTCTGGTGGATCAGACACAAAATGCTGACAAATGTTGTTTGAAAAAGGCAATCACCATAGGTTTTAAAAAACAAAAGAGAAACTATATCACCTTACAATAAAGTAATCACAACATTAAAAACGTTTCCTTCACTGAAGATAGAAGGCAGCTTTCTGACCTGAGCTTGTTTTATTGAGTGCACACGTTTCAGAGACTTAATGAATAAAGAAACCCTATTCCTGTGTTCTAGAAATGGAGAAAAAAATTCCAGGTAGAGCGTTCTTAGTGATAATCAGTCACGGTGCTGTTTGTGGGAAAGTGCAGTCTCGGTGTTCAGGTTGGCTTGTGCCACACACCTTGCCACCCGCAACAGGCAGTATCACGTGGTACTTCGGCTGTCATTTTGTTCCTTCAGTCACATTCCTGCGGCTCAATTGCAGATTCACGTTAACAATGTAAAGTAAACTGGCTCATCGGCGTGTCTCATGGAATGTTGTATTTTGCTCTTACCTGTTGCTAAAATTTCATGTTTGTGTTTTGTATACATTTTTGAGGAACATGTTAACTTTTGTTATAGAACTTTTTTTAAGTATTAAAACTTTTCCCCAGAATTTTCTCATTTTGATCTTCTTATCACTCCCCAGTGCTCTGAGTTTTATTGAAACATTACTCACATGATTGTTTAGCTTTTAGCCAGTTTTATGCTTTGAGGTGTAAGAAGGGACAGCCTGTTATGGGAATGGCACCAAGAGCCAGATTCAGAACTTGGACCCACTCCTACTTAGGGACCAGAGCCTGATTCTGTGGTTTCCTTGAAGCCCTGAAATGGGGGTGAAAGTGCAGTCCTTGGGGACCAGGGTCAGGAGAAGAGGAGTATGCCATACTCCAGGATTGGGGGACCCTGAGACAACCTCATCTCGTGAGTTTGCTACTGAGATGCCTGATACCCACAGGTGCCCAGATGGAAGGAAGGGGCCAGGGACCAGGCTGGTGCAGACAGGTGGAAAACCAGGATGAGGGAGACGGGCAGGGGGAAGAGAAGCCTAGAGGGACAGACTAGGTGGGGGTGCGGCCCTAGAGCCAGATCCTGCGGGCAGAGGACGAGATCTAAGGGTGGGGACGTCCACCAGACCAAGACCCGTTTCTCAGAAAGCGGGCTCCAGAGGTTCTGTGGGTGCCTCTGATGGGTCTGCCTGTAAGTCACCAGAGGGTGGCACTGCCCTGTACAGGGGCAGGAGGGGGTTCCAGAGCTCAGGGGGGGCCCCAGGGCGGACAGAGTGCTTAGCAGAGGCCACCAACCGTGCCAGGATCTGGCCCCACCCCTCCCATGTGCATGTCTGTGCCTCGGGGTGTGCGTGGGTATGGACTTCTGTGCAGGGGAGAGGGCGGCAGAGCCGGGAGCACAAGTGCCTCCTCAGGACCTGGTTCACCAGGCACGTGTAAGGAGAAGGGATGTAGGCCATCCCACCCACTTGGCCATCCTGAGGCCTGCTGGAGATGGGTGGGCCAAAGTGTGAGGAGGGGGTCACACCTGGGCCCCCAGACAGAGGACACAGGTCCTGGGCTCCTCCCCTGGCACAGGCTGTCATGGGCACTTGGTGGGTGGTGGCCAAACCCCCACAGATGCTCATCGCTGAGCATGGCTAGGTGCTCCCATGGGCTTGGGGCCAGGCTGGGGAAGGGGCTGTCCTGGCCGCGAGGGGCAGGTGGAGCTACGTTCCTCTGGTGGACAGCCCACTCCTCACTGGTGAAACAGGCCAGAGTGCTGTCTCCAGAAGCCCACAGGGGCCATGAGGTTGAACCGTGGGAGAGAGAACCACACAGGCGGGTTAGTGCATGTGTGACCACCTTTCTGGGCCCCTTCTGAGGCCTCCAAATCAGGGGCCTGAGCCATGGACTTCTGTGCAGGGGAGGGGGCGGCGGGGGCCATGGGAACCCCATGGACCACTGTAGCCACGAGGCCATGCCTGGCACAAAGGTGTGGGGACCAGGGCCAGGGGGGCCACCACTTAGCCAAGCCTGAGGGAGTCCACGGTCAACGGTCATCACAGGGTTCTGGCCTTGAAAGGGCCAGGCAGCGAGTGAACAGATGGGCTGGGCGCACCCCTCCCCCTTCCCTAACACGTGCTGTTGGTTTGGGTAAACTCGTGGGGGTTCAGTTCCGTTTCCCCCGGCAGGGACCCAATGTTGAGCATGTTGTTTCATTCCCAGCAACACGCACAGCTGGAAGATGCAGCTCCTGTGAGCCTTCCCCGCCTCGGCTGCCCGGCCCCTCCTCGCACAGGCCTGGGGCCCGCCCTCCCCTTCCTTGGCTGCCATGGCTCCACGTGGCCACACTCAGCTTCTCCAGGCCTCTAAGGGCTCCTGCACGGTGGGTTTGCTCATCCCTTGGGTCTTTGCTGGGGGATCCAAGCCCACGCCCCGAGAAAACACCTGAAGTCCTGAATTCTCACAGACCTGTCTTTCCCTCCAGCTCCCTCAGTGACACCCCGAGTCTGGCCCAGGTGCTCCTCGGCAGTGCGGTGTCTTCCCTCTGCTGCGGGCCGGGCAGGTCCCCAGCTGGGTTGTGCTACTTAGCCCTCATTCTGGGGCCACTAATGCAGGCTCGGAAGGCCTGACGAGTCTGGGAGTTAGATTTGGGCCCAGTCACGCAGATGCCCCATCCCTGGTTCATGGTCTGGGAGCCCCCAGGGCCCCTAAACGTTGGTGTCTCAATGGAGCACTCAATCGTCTTGAGTGCAGCTCCTTGACCCCAGGATTCTCCGCTTTTCTGCCACATGAGCTGCGCTTCTCTGAGCGTCTGGAGAATCCCTGGCCCTCACGCTCCTTCTCAGTTGCTGTCTGATGCTCTCAGCTTTTCGTTTCCTGCATGCAGGACACCCTCACACCTTAGTGGCACCCAATGCCACTGTCCTCCAAGCGCTTCACACACCCCTCTGGCCAGGGCATCCCACGGCTCGAGTGCCAGTGACGCTTAGCCTCCTGCGTCCCTGCGGGCTGAGCACCTTCCCCACCAGGCAGGGGGCACCCCAGCCAGGCAGGAAGTGGGATTGGGCGTGGGAGCCTTCAGACGGCCAAGCGGACCCAACGGTTTGGACTTTGTTAGCCTGTTGGTAGAGTTCCCTGTCAGGAGAAAGGCCTGGTCCCGTGAACCACTCTGGGGGGCAGTCAAGAGCAAAGACGTTTCATGGATGCTGGCGGGAACCTCAAGCCTCCCGGGTGGGAGGGGGTCTTCACCTCTCGCGGCCCAGCAAGCAACCTGAGTGCGTGCTCCCTTCTCCCTCTCGTCCGCACACTTGACAGGGCCAAGCCCTAGAGCGACTTGTCACAGATGTGAGTTCTCACTGAGGACCAGAAACCCTTCTCTGTCGGAGGAGTTATCATCAGAAACCTGTTTTCTCTGTCATATGAGTCACCATTGCTCGGCCAGGAGTCTTCCACCTCTCCCACGAGTTGTCGGTAAGCGGACAGCTTTCCCGCCTGTCACCCATGACAGTAGACCTCCTGCTCCTGGCTCCTAAGTTCACTGGTGCCCGGACTTTCCAGCCGCGACGGGAAACCATGGCCGATCACGTGAGCTGTCAGTCAGTTCCCGAGGCAGCCCTTCTTCACTCTCATCTGAGCTCCCATTTATGACCGGAGAATTCTCCGTGACCTTAGTTGTCATTTTCCCGTGGAATTCTTTCTCCTCTATCTCCTGATTATCGTTTATGACCAAACTCCCTTGCCATTTATGATTGGATCCTTCTCTATCTCCTAAGTTGTAGTTTCTGACTGAAACCCACCCTTCTCTCCCATCCCCATTTGTAACTGCAACACTTACTTCCCTACCAACTTACTGAATGTTTATTTCTAGAAACTTTTTTTCTCTTTTCCCGAGTTGTCATTTTTGGCTGAATATGTTCCCTCGGGGTTACTGGAGTTATAATCCAATGACTGGCTACTTTCTGTCTTTACCACCTGACTTATCCTTCACGGTCTGCCTTCCTTCTTCTATGATTTCTCATTTATGCCTGGAAATCATCCTTCTCTGTCACCTGAACGCTGTTGAGTATCTGCCGAGTCTACAGCTAAGGCTGACAATCCCCTTCTCGTCCACATGAGTTATCACTTACAATGAGGTCTGCTTTCCTCCATCACCCAACTTGTGAATGGTCACTGGAAACCTTTCTGCATCACCCGAGCTATCACGGGCACCTGGGGTCCTTCTCCCCGTGTCGCGGGAGTTTCATTTATGACCCGGAGCCTTGCGTGCCCCATCATCCGAGTTATCATTTGTACTACCGGTCTCTTTCCTCACCAGGAGTCATACGTGATGATCGGAGGCCATCTTTGTATCCACAGTTATCATTTCATATGAGAAGCCATCCTTCTCCGGCATCTGAGTTATCGGTTATGACAGGAGACTTTCTCATCAGCTCACACTTACTGCTTGAAACCTCCCCTGTCGTGTGGATCACAGTTTATGACGGGATCTTCTGTACTGTCCCCTGTGTTCTCATCTTTGTGGCTCTATCACCTTTCCTCATTTATCCACCCTGGTTGTGTACCCCTGGAAGTACGCTTCCGCTAGCATCTGGGCATAACTTGGTGCTGGAAACCTCTGTCTGCATCACCGGAGTTAGTAGGACTGAAATCATTCTTTCTCTGTCAAAACTGAATTCTCCTTTTGGACCAGAACCTTCTCTCCCTGTTGGCTGAGTCACCACGGATGACCGCAGTGGTGTTTTTCTATCTAGTGCTATTACCTATGAGTGGAGACCGTTTCTACCCCAAGCTATCGTTAATGACTAGAGGTCTTTCTCTATCCACTGACTCACCATGTGCCATGGGAGCCATTCTCTCTCTGCCGCCTG